TCGATGCAGAAATTTTTCGACAAAAAAAATTTGTCAAATCGTTCCAAAAAAAATTATTTTCGATTGCGGGGGTCAATTACAATCATTTTTGGTCATTACACATGACCCCGAAATCCTAGGCACTTTCGAGAAAAAAATTCCTTACAGAAAATCTAATGTGAGGCCAGAAATGTTTCCCTGTAATTTCATGCGTATCATTAAAATGTCATAACTTCTGAACGGATTGGAAGAATATGTGAAAATTCCAAAAATATTCGAAAAGTTAATCTTTGACTGCGCAAAACAAGAAAACCCCCATAAAAATGGTCCAATTTTCAAATGTTTATAACGCTTACAATAGTGAATATATTTCATTCAAACTTTTTTCTGAAGTAAAGCCCATGGGTACCTACAAAAAAGTGTTAGACAACTTTTCTGTAGGGGGTCAAACAAAATTATTAAAAACCAAAAACGAATTTTTAAGAAAAATCGACAGGGGATGGGTGCCTTTTTACGACGAAAAACAAATTTCAAATCGTTCTGGAAAAAATATTTTCAGTTGCGGGGGTAAATTACAATCATTTTTGGTGAATAGACATATCCCCGAAATCCTGCGCATTTTCGAGAAAAAAATTCCTATACGAAAACATAATGTATGGCTAGAAATGTCCCCCGGAAATTTCACGCGAATCTTTAAAACGTCGTAACTTCTGAACGGATTGAAGGATTTTAATATTTAAAAAGGCAAATAACGCGTATTTTGGTAAAGAATATGTGGAAATTCCAAAAATATTCGAAAAGTTATTCCTTGACTCTGTAAAATGAGAAAACCCCCATAAAAATGGTCCAATTTTCAAACAGTCATAACTCCTACAATAGTGAATATATTTCATTGAAATTTTGGGGGGAACTAGAGTTCATGGATACCTACGAAAAAGTGTTAAACAACTTTCCTGCACAACGAAAACCAAATTTATTAAAAATGAAAAATAAATTTTTAAGAAACATCGACAGTGCCTAAATTTTACGACGAAAACCAACTTTCAAATCGTTCTGGAAAAATTATTTTCGGTTACAGGGGTAAATTACAATCATTTTTGGTGAATAGACATATCCTCGAAATCCTAGGCACTTTCGAGAAAAAAATTCCTTACCGAAAATCTAATGTGAGGCCAGAAATGCTTCCCTGTAATTTCATGCGTATCTTTAAAATGTCATAACTTGTGAACAGATTGGAAGAATATGTGAAAATTCCAAAAATATTCGAAAAGTTATTCTTTCACTACGCAAAATAAGAAAAATCCCATAAAAATGGTCCAATTATCAAATGTTTATAACGCCTACAATAGTGAATATATTTCATTGAAACTTTTTTTTGAAGTAAAGCCCATGGGTACCTACAAAAAAGTATTAGACAACTTTTCTGTAGGGGGTCAAACAAAATTATTAAAAAACCAAAACGAATTTTTAAGAAAAATCGACAGGGGGTGCGTGCCTAAAGTTTACGACGAAAAAAAAATTTCAAATCGTTCTGGAAAAATTATTTTCAGTTGCGGGGGTCAATTACAATTATGTTTGGTAAATAGACATAACCCTGAAATCCTGCGCATTTTCGAGAAAAAAATTCCTAAACGAAAATATAATGTATGGCTAGAAATGTCCACCGGAAATTTCACGCGAATCTTTAAAACGTCGTAACTTCTGAACGGATTGAAGGATTTTAATATTTAAAAAGGCAAATAACGCGTATTTTGGTAAAGAATATGTGGAAATTCCAAAAATATTCGAAAAGTTATTGCTTGACTCTGTAAAATGAGAAAAACCCCATAAAAATGGTCCAATTTTCAAACAGTCATAACTCCTACAATACTGAATATATTTCATTGAAATTTTGGGGGGAACTAGAGTTCATGGATACCTACAAAAAAGTGTTAAACAACTTTCCTGTACAACGAAAACCAAATTTATTAAAAATGAAAAATGAATTTTCAAGAAACATCGACAGAGTGCCTAAATTTTACGACGAAAAATAAATTTCAAATCGTTCTGGAAAAATTATTTTCAGTTGCGGGGGTAAATTACAATCATTTTTGGTGAATAGACATATCCCCGAAATCCTGCGCATTTTCGAGAAAAAAATTCAGTAAGGGCGGAACTTTAAATGTTAATAACTTTTTAACGTAGCCTCCATGAACAAATTAGTATTCTTGATTTTCGTCGTATTTTGACCTGTAGAATACCCCATTAAAATTTTTCCCAGGGTTGGTCGAACACCCTGTATGTGTAACGAGAAAAGAAAAATCAAATTCCTTGAATATTAATATAATCACGAGAGCAAGAAAAAAAACATACTAATTTAAAGCAAGTAATTTTATATATTTGTAACAAATAAACCCAAGATAAAAGGTGGAGGTATGTAAATTTATAGAATTAAGATTGAAAGATTCAGTGGATATTGACGCGACGAAGAAATGAAAGGCATTGGAAACGAGAAGTTCGTTTCCGCGATTAAAATCAAGACCGTTTACGCGATTGTGAATCGCGGTGGCCTTGAACAGCCAGTTGATTTTGATCTGACTATACAACGTTAAAGTTTAAACAGGGAACTGGGAGACTGCGGTTCGGTTTCCCGGTTTCCATTACGCGTTTCGTGTCACGTGGGATGGCGGTGGCCCACAATGGCGTTTTCTTTATATCGAGTTTGCAATTTTCACTATTAATACTTTAACAATTTACCATTATGATGCTAGAAAAATTAATTCTCAAGTCAAGACTGTGAGGGAAATAAATTTGGATAGAATTTGTGAATTTTAACAAGGTTACGAAAATAAATACCGAAACAAATTTCAGGTTATGTAACTTGCAATGGTCTAAAATAAAAATTTTTACTTTTGTTGAATATTATATGGCTTTTATCTAGCAGTGAACGTGTTAAGAGGAATATCGTAGTAAAATAGCTCATACTGTGATTAATTGGTGCGTAATCAATAGGTGTAACGCGATTATACTGCGATTATAGTTCACGCGACGCGTAGTTTGATACTTCAGTAATCTAGTTATGGAAAATTATTAATAAATCATTAATTAATAAATCTATTTCGTCAAGAAACGTAAATATTATTAGAAATGTAAATAATTGTTTTTTCGTTACTTTTCGATAAATTTATATTTTGAACTTCGTCGAAATGCTTAGTTTCGAATGATGGATGGTTGGAAGCGGGTATTACGTAACTTCACACGTAACTGGTAACTGTGTACACCTGGGTTTCCCACACGTTGGATGCGTGCAGTGGAAAAAAAAACATGCAAGAATAGGTCTGTGTAAAATAAAAGAATCGAGTAAAAAAAAATCGTATGCATTTTACGGGGGAACTAAAAAACAAACACTGCAAAGTGCGGAACATCGGGAAAAATTGGCAGAAATTCAACAGATTTTTATGACGTGAAGCATTTGCAAATTAATTATTGCGTGTTTTTGCAACCGTTTATAAAGTAAACAAAACGTATATATATCTATATTATTTAACCATGTTATATACATTATTTAAAAACGTTTTACTTTCATTAACAGGGTTGCAAACATATAAATACTTGAATCGTATGCAAATCTAATTCTAATCAATTTGATATATTTATATAACCATTTTCGAGCATATTACCACAGGAAAAATTTATTTATCCGATCCTGAATTCATAGCTGAAGTTTTGTGGTTTAACCTGGAAACACCCTATACAGGGTGTTCGGCCACCTCTAGCAAAAATTTTAATGAGCGATAGTAGAGGCCAAAATAAGACGAAAAACAAGAATACTAATTTGTTGGTGGAAGCTTCGTTAAAAAGTTATTAACGTTTAAAGTGCCGCTCTTACTGAATTTTTTTCTCGAAAATGCGCAAGATTTCGGGGGTATGTCTATTCGCCAAAAATGACTGTAATTGAACCCTACAACCGAAAATAATTTTTCCACAACGATTTGCAATTTTTTAATTTTCTCGAATAATTTCACACCTTCTCTATTTTTTTTCTCGAAAGTGGGCAGGATTTCGTGGGTATGTCTAATGACAAAAACTGATTGTAATTGACCCCCGCAACCGAAAATAATTTTTCCACAACGATTTGCAATTTTTTTTCTCCGTTGAAAAATTTAGGCACCTAATTGGATTTTCAGTAAGGAATTTTTTTCTCGAAAGTGCGTACAATTTCGGAGGTATGTGTAATGATAAAAAATGATTGTAATTGATCCCCGCAACCGAAAATAATTTTTTTAAAACGATTTGAAAAATTTTTTTCGCCGAAAAATTTCAGCACCTACTCGATTTTTTTTCTCGAAAGTAGATAGGATTTCGGAGGTATGTGTACTCACCAAAAATGATTGTAGTTGACCCCCGCAACCGAAAATAATTTTTCCAGAACGATTTGAATTTTTTGAATTTAATTGTTAATAACTTTTTAACGAAGCTTCCATCAACAAATTAGTATTCTTGATTTTCGTCTTATTTTGGCCTCTACTATCGCTCATTAAAATTTTTGCTAGAGGTGGCCGAACACCCTGTATATTCGACTTGAAAAATGTAAAGAAAAGACACGATGAAACTCGCAAGATTGTCTAGAAGAATAAATTACGTTTGTAAATACATATTCTTAGAAGCTCTATCATCTGGGTAATCTATTACGCCGAGGACACTTGAAAAATTGCAACGCGCAAAGTACTTTCCTTATAATTCTTGAAAACTTTTAGATAAAGATCCTTCGTTGATCTCGTCCCTCATTGATAGGGTCGATTTTTCTCGCATTAGTCACCGCGTGCTCAAGTCACTTTACATCCAATTTCTTTTCTATTTCGCGCGAATTAAAATCGAGCGGGGCTCGCTCCGCGTCGGATCGCTTTTCGACAAACTTTCCTCCGCGATAATTTAGCAGTTTAAGTTCGCGAGATAGAAAGAGCGGAAGCGGAGTCGGACAAAAAGGTCGAATTTTTTTCTCCCCCCTGGGATGGAAATTTAAATCGTTTGAAGTAGCTTACCCGAACGTCCGCCATATGTCGAAGCACATGATGTTCAGCCAAGAGAAAGTCGACAGGAATGAGAAATACATGACGATTCCTGAAATCAAAAAATGGTTTCGTATATTGTTTTTGGATTCTGAATTAGTGATGTGTAATTAATCAAATGCAATTTTGTTGGATTTTTAAATTGTTTCTTAGCACGAAAGAGTTATGTTCGTCAAATTGTATCGAACCTTTCATAGTCTATCATATTTCAAGATACGTTACAAATTTTAAAAAAATATGGACAAAATAGAAAATCTACAGGAAAATGTGTACTTGCTTAGCACAAAGCAATCGTGTTCATCAAATTGCATCAGATCTATCATATTGCAAGATACATAATAAACTTCCTGACAGATGAAATAATTACTAATAGAAAAATTACAGAAAAGTGTGTACTTGCTAAAATTCATGTGACTGAAAGATAAGATGTTTAAAAAAAATCAGGAACTAATACTGAGAAAAAGTAATTATTTATTTCTTCTGTAATGTGAATTACCGAATTTATTCTCGAATAATAAGGGGGGTTTTTCCAAGAAGTTCTATGACCAAAATATTTCAAGAAATTCGTTTTTAATAAACCAAACTTGGAATCTACGTTCGTGTGACTGTACGTATAAAACAAGAGAAGTCTGAGAATAACTCGTGAAGATGATTCGTTTGAACGTAATCGTACGCAGGCTGAAACGATGCACCGTCCACGTTGTATATTTACAGTTATAAAACATAAATAACCCGGTGTGGGAAATGACGTCCAACTACTGATTTACGCCAACGATGTTTCATTTTCGTTTCAGTAATGTCATAACGCGACTGAAGTGTTCAAACATTAAATATGATTTCTGTTCGATGGACCAAGAGTAATTGGAAATTGCACGGTAGATCATCATGATTAGTTATAATTATAAGTATTAGGTCGTCCCATATGTTCGTACCGATTTTTCTACTGCAACTTGAAGTAATATTTTAAACATGTAAGGAAGGCATCCTTAGTCTGTTTGAATGTGGCGCGTGAGTAGTATGTCGCGATCTCCATACGTGGCGCTAGAGTGACGAGTCGAGGGAGATGTGCCACGAGGGTAAATGCGACATTTATTTGAAAGAGTGATTAGTGTACAAGAAGGGTGTGAATAAGAACATTGAATGTTGTTGTATAATGTACTATTTATCGGTAGGTTGGTGGTGTAAAATAAGTAGAAGTGTTCTCTGTAAAAACAAAGACTTTTATTAAATTCAACGCAATGCAATATGACTACTTAATGAATTGACAGTCAATTCTACCTGTAAAAACAAAGAAACAACATTCAATGTTCTTATTTACACCCTTCTTGTACACTAATCACTCTTTCAAATAAATGTCGCATTTACCCTCGTGGCACATCTCCCTCGACTCGTTACTCTAGCGCCACGTATGGAGATCGCGACATACTACTCACGCGCCACATTCAAACAGACTAAGGATGCCTTCCTTACAAACATATGATGGAATTTTATGAAAAATAGTAACCCCCTTCTCGTTCAACAACTCCTTCCCCTTCTTTTGGCAAAGCCATTGTATCGTCGCTCCAAAACTTGCTGGATATTTTATTCAAATTTAGTTTAACGCTTTTCATTAAAACGTTGACATTTTCAAATTGTTTATCCACTAATAATCCTAGAGATTGTTATATTTTATATCTTATAAGATTCGGTTTTATCATATCCTAACAGAAATATTTACGCAATCAGGCTCTACCACGATTAAGAGAATTTTGTTCCATAAGCTAGTGTGGATTCCAAACTTCGAACTTTGACACAATATCTATTTGTGTCAAATTTCTATGAATTGTTGATGTTACTATGTTTGAAATTTCAGAAATCACCTAAACTGACAAATTTTCTTTGTTTTTTATTCGATTACAAATTTTATCCTCATCAATTTCAGAATATTGAACGGCACGTACTTATGGGACGACCTAATATATATAGCAACCGAGGAGTCGGTCGAGCGCTTGTGAGAGCGCGACCCCTCTGGTGGCGTGCATGGGAGGCGACGCCACACGCCCTACCAAGGTGATGACGTTGAGGATTGGCTTGACCAATCCTCCCATCAGTTAGTTTTCGTCACCTTGGTAGGAAGAGTCGAGGTTAGGTTAAGGGTAGTAGTATTTTATTCAAATTTAGTTTAACGCTTTCCATTAAAACGTTGACATTTTCAAATTGTTCATCCACTAATAAGCCTGGAGATTGTTATATATTATATCTTATAAGATTCGGTTTTATTATATGCTAACAGAAATATTTACGCAATCAGGCTCTACCACGATTAAGAGAATTTTGTTCCATAAGCTAGTGTGGATTCCAAACTTCGAACTTTGACACAATATCTATTTGTTTCAAATTTCTATGAATTGTTGATGTTGCTATGTTTGAAATTTCAGAAATCACCTAAACTGACAAATTTTCTTTGTTTTTTATTCGATTACAAATTTTATCCTCATCAATTTCAGAATATTGAACGGCACGAACTTATGGGACGACCTAATACATGCACATAGTAGATAGTAATGGTGCAATAACATACCCAGTATTGTACAATATTTAGAGCCTCCATTTGTATTATGAGGAGTCCGCGTCGGTGTCAACCAAGGCATTATGGCAAGACAAACGTAAGACATTAGGAGGCTCGCAGCGTGGCACATCAAGGTTTTTCCATGCAGATTTTGAAGTGCGGGCAAACAAATGTACACCAACAACGTCAACAGCAGAAAAAAGCAACTTATCATCTCCAGGATGCTATTAACTTTGAATCTGAAATCACTAACCAGAAGAACAACATTCGATGATGCTTTATGACATTTCATTTAATACGCGATGCATTAAACATATACAATTACTCACAAAATTGAGCGTACACCTATGTAGTTAATAAAAACTGGTGGGAAAATGAAGGGGGTTTGCTGAAATTTTTCGGCTTAAAAAAAATTTCAAATTGTTCTGGAAAAATTATGTTTAGCTAGAGGGGTCATTTACAATAATTTTTGGTGAATAGACGTACCCTCGAATTCCTACGCACTTTCGAGAAAAAAATTCTTTACCGAAAATACATTCTCTGATCATAAATGAAATTTCATGTCTAATCACTTTAAATTTCATGCGTATGTTTAAGACGTCATAACTCCTAAATGAATTGGACGATTTTAATTTTTCAAAATGCAAACAACGCGTATTTTAGTCAAGAATATGTAGAAATTCTGAGAATATTGGAAAAGGTGTTCCTTAACACCATAAAGTTAGGAAAATCCCATAAAAGTAGACCAATTTTGAAACGGTCATAACTCCTACAATAGTCAATGGATTTAATTATAAAAATAACAATGGAACAAATGTTTCGATAGATGTTGAAACAGTTTCGTTTAACGCGTAATTCGTCGAGGTTCTCTAACACGTTCACTGCCAGATCAAAACCGTACAATATTCTGCAAAAGTAAAATTTTAATTTCAGACCATTGTAAGCTACATAACCTAAACGACAATGTTAAGTCCTAGAGGAGTTTACTGACCCAAGAGCGTACAGCATATGCTATACACCGTTGGAAAGGTCTCGCCAAGGCGAATCGACTGATACCATTTTTAACTTCGATATCATATCAGTAGGATTCAGTATTCACATCATTATGTTTCGTTCAATCAATAAAATGTCACTCCATTCACTATTGTAAGTGACGCATTAGTCTGAATACTAACCTGCACATTCCCAACTCATACCTGCGAATCGTCTATCATGAATATACTATGTTCATGAAAACCAACTGATCCGTTGACGATTTCGCCCTGGGCATTTGGAACGGGGCCCATGCGGCAAACGCAGGCCCAACACGGCACTGAAATGAAGATGGCGGGGCACATTTGCCGTCCCAATCTGCTAGAGTATCGCTTACACCCCTCGGTTTTTCCTCAGGTGCCTACTCGAGGTCCCTCGGGTCGGATGGGCTTTTACTACCGGTTTCTTTTGTTCAAAACCGCAAAATCTCGAACTTTGAGGCCATTTTTCGACATTATCCCATCTGATATCGAAGTTAAAAATGGTATCAGTCGATTCGCCTTGGCGAGACCTTTCCAACGGTGTATAGCATATGCTGTACGCTCTTGGGTCAGTAAACCCCTCTAGGACTTAACATTGTCCTTTGTTTCGCTACTTATTTTTGTAACCTTGTTAAAATTCACAAATTCTATCCAAATTTATTTCCCTCATCGTCTTAACTTGAGAATTAATTTTTCTAGTATCATAATTGTAAATCTTGTCATCCACATATGGGTGACGTGGCAGTCAAAGTGCTAATCAAGGCTGATTTCGCCATTATTTCATGTTTCTTTAATAAATCTCGATTCCGTGCGCCGAGTGCACGTGGTTTTGAGGGAATAGCAACCCTGATAAAACGAATTACTTCGACTTCCTCGGAGAACGTTAGGAACGCGAAATTTCCCCTGGTAAAATGAACTTTATCTCGTCGTTCCTAAGCAGAGTCTGGTACTAAGAAACGTCCTCGCTACAAAGGGAATCGTGTCTGCACGTAAGTATTCTCATTATCACGAGCTCCGAATATAAATTGACTCATTCCGACTATTGCCTTGTCTTCTCGGCATTAACAACTTCATTAACGTTGGTTGATCTTTATTTACGTCCGAAATTAAGGAAATTTTATAATCTCGTCGTGATTTCCTTCGCGCAACTCGATCGACCTGACTAATTTTTTTAATAAAATCGTTTGTTACGAATGTATCGTAAAAGTTTGTTTATCTTTATCCTGGAATACAATCGACTGAAGAATACTTACAAATGTCACACAACTTTAAACGTTTGAAACGTTTAAAGAACGTGGATATTACCAGAAGAGAAGATAAATATGCCCCTGGTGACCAGAAGTGGACTTAATTTCATGATTGAATAACATTGTTATCAAATAATGTTCAGTGTTCTTGTTTGGATTCTTACGGAGTTCTTAAGATGTTCTAACTGTTCTTGAAATGTTCTAATCTGGAGAGTCCTATGCCCCACAAATATATACAGATTCCAAAATAGGTGGAGACATTGTGTATTCAATTAAATCCCTATTCATCCCTCGTGGGCCAGTCCTCAGATATTCAAAATCCCGCCCACTAAGGGTGGTACAGGGGTGAGTGTCCGCGGTCCCAAGGGGCAGGTATGGTCCCAAAGTACGGTGCTTAATGGGTTTATGATACGGCAATTTTCTTTGTACTATGAGGTCCTTGCCAAATAGCTAATTCAGTAATTTAAAATAACATTAATTAAATGAGAGGTATGCTAATAACTGTTGGGATTCCCAACAACGATTAAGTCGGAGTTCTCCGTCGACTGTCGTCAAGTGCGGACGCGGTTATCGTGCTAGAGTAAACACTACTGACCTCGAGTAGCCTGTCGCGTTCTCTTGTTCGGATATAAAATTTTTCAGTTAGTAAAGTGTTGCAAATTGTGGAAATTAGATCAGTGAATACATGAATAGTTGTTGCTCTCGCAACAACGACATTAGAATGACCTCTGACTACAGGAGTCATTCTGTCAAACCTGCAACCCAATGTTCCAGTACGGAAAGTTCTAAACCAGCTAGTTACGCATCAGTCACGCAGATTAATATGTTTCCCAAAAAGGAACAAGCGATCATTATGGAAGCCTAAAACGGAATTGAACTCAAAGATTATATCAAAGCTGTTGGAAATCTAACAAGTCCGGCAAATATTCGGTTCGCATCTAGAATTTCAAACAACAGAATTTGCATCTTTCTGGCCACCAAGGACATAGCCGACCAACTGACTAACAAGTATACAAAGATTATTATAGCAAATCAACATATAGAACTTCGACCTCTATTAGTCAAACATAGAAGAATTATCTTCTCAAACGTTTATCCTACGATACCACATGTCCTGATTGAAGAAGTGCTCGACAAACTCAAAGTTAGACGAGAATCCTCTGTATCTTTCTTAAGGGCTGGTTTGTCTGATCAAGGTTATACCCACATTCTTAGTTTCCGGCGACAAGTCTTCATCCATCCGGATGATGTTAACAAAATTCCTGATTCTATCCAAATAAATCACGAAAATACTACTTATTGGATCTATCCATCTGCCGATAATTTGAAATGCTTTATATGCAAACAAGATGGACATCGTGCTAAAGACTGTCCAACTAATGAAGACAATAAAAATAAAACTGCTGACATCGAAAATAACACAACTCAAAATCTGACTGAAACAATAAGCACTGTAGAAGTTTCTACGCCAAATGCTATTTCGAACAAGGTCTCCCCAGCTGGGTATCTTATGGAATATACAGTTGAAGAACCTAAAACCATCGCAGTCAAGCGAACCAGATCTGAGGTAAGCACGACTGTTTCAGAGAAATCGATTGAACCGATCGCAGACCAACCAAATATGAAAGAACCGATGGAAATGCCATCCAAAAAACCAAAGAAACTGAAGAAAGCCAAAGTTGCAGACGTCCCAGTAAAATCACTCGAAGAAATGCTGTGTCCTCTCAAAGATGTTCTTGATAATCCCGATTCTTCGATAAATTACATAGAATTTAAAAGTTTTATGGAGAAAGCTCATGGATCGGCCGCTGCGAGAGAAATTGCTGATGAGTATACTAACAACATAGATGAACTGATATCTCTTATGGAGAAATTATATCCTCTTCTTAAAGAGAGGTGCATAAAACATAGATTCTCCCGCATCATGAATAGGTTAAGGAAGCCGTTGTCGACTGAACCCTCGTCACCATACCCCACCTCGTCTGAAGAAGATGACAATTTTCAACCAACAAATATTGATTAGACAAACTTAACGAATGACTACTAAAATTATCCAGTGGAACATAAACGGCTTAAGGACACATTATGAATATCTCCAGAAACTCATAGCTGATAATGATGCTGATATCGTTTGCATTCAAGAAACTAATTTCAAGGAGTCTAGCTGCACCAAAATAAAAAACTTTGATATTTTGTACAGAAACAGAAGACATTGTCTCTCTGCAAGTGGTGGAGTGGCCATTTACATCAAAGACTACTTATTCAAAACCAATATCTCTGTCGATACCAATTTAGAAGCAGTGGCAGCCACCCTTTTTTTAGCAAACAGATTAATTACAATTTGCAATGTCTACATTCCAGTCAGTCATCACTTACAATCTAAAGAACTATCTGAACTACTAAATCAGCTTCCCAAACCTTGCATTATCATAGGTGATTTTAATTGTCACAATAGCCTCTGGGGATCAGATAAAACCGACCAAAGAGGTAAACTTATTGAGAAGTTTCTTGATGATAATGATCTGCTCCTTCTTAATAAAAAGGACCCCACACACTTCAACGTGGCATCGGGCAAGTTGAGCTGCATTGATCTTTCTATTGCCTCTCCTGGCATTGCGGATCTACTTGACTGGCAAGTCTCCTCTGAGCTTCTGGATAGTGATCACTTTCCGATTTTCTTAAATATAGAATGCAATACTATCGTTGGGAATATCAACTCCCCCAGATGGAAATTTCGCAAAGCTGACTGGGCTATGTTTCAATCATTAATTGATAACAGTATCGATGGGCTTGAAACACCAAACGAATCAAATGCTTGTCACATCAGCATGCTAGTCCAAAATTTTACCGACGTAATCTCACAAGCAGCTTCTCGATCTATACCCCAAACAAGAAATAATAAACAGAAGAAAAACGTTCCTTGATGGAATAATGATTGTGAAGCAGCTATCAAGGAATACAAACACTCTCTTAATGTTTACAGACGTC